TTATTTCTTATTGAGGAAGCTATTTTCCCATTTTCATCCTGGTTTATACAAATTTATTTTAATTTTGTTCAGGAAGCTATTAGCTTATGGAAACGCAATTTCGAAAATCCGTTGCTGGGGAACCAACCAGTCACTGAGCAAGATGTGTGGATGGAGTAAATAATGACTTGCCCCTGTCATGTGGTTTGAACCCCATGCGGCAGCGATCATAGATCAAATGGTCCTAAGTGTTAACCAAACTGCCATGCCGCCACCATTTAATCTTATCAACAGTTCATGTGTAACAATAATTGCGATATTTGACAAAGAAAATTAAAGGATGCCATGTTCGATGCTGAAAAATGTCGTCAACGTGTTTCAAAGTTTTCTATTACGCTAAAAGTGGTTCAGTGATTCGAAAATCTTACGTCGTAAATATCCATTATTAAGTGATGCAGGGCCTCCGTGCCAGAGTGGTTAAGGTCACTGACTTTGAACCGCTATGAGTTCAATTCCACTAACTTTACCAACTTGGTTCATCAAACTATTTATCAACGTATTCCAAAGAAGTCATTTGACTCTTATTATCTTTTCTTTTTATCTATTTTGGCGTTTCAAAAATTTAAACTAAACAGTTAACTGCTGGCCAACTGGAAAAGGAAAATGAAAACAAGTCGACCGTAATTTTATCTAAAAGAAATACAACAATTTTTATTCTTCACGTTTTACTAAAAGTATTACTGCTTTATTAGGCTTAAACACAACCATAACTTATTGCTGGGACTGAATAATAGTTTAATAATTTATTTTCATCAGTAAGTAATTCAGATACAAGGTATTTTTGGGCTTAAATAATTTTTTTATGTCATTTTGGGCAAATTTTCTGACCTTTATTGGTGGAATAAGACCTTAGGAGACCCTCGTGCATTATTTCAGTACTAGATGTGTATACAAGCATTTATACTGCATATTAACAGCATAGGGTATATTAATTTGAGTAAATGTCCCTCATCAAAACTTCAAAGGGGATGGAGCAGATGTCTGCTCTTCGAAAACAGAGGAGGGGACAAACCAGTAATAAAAACTTCAGTAATAAAAACTTATCAAGTCACCATTAGTTACGCAACAACCCTACAATTTTTTCACATGGCGTATTTGGCTACTTTATAAATCGCGAGGTTATTTTTTTGTCCCAGATATTAATCTGATAATTGAAAATTTAAATTTATAAGAATAATCATATTTGGGAAACTTCTAATTATGAGACGTCTTAAGCTCTGGGATGGGGAAATGTTAGTTATTTCCTTCAGATTTTTTAACATAAATATATTTAAACATAAATAATTATATTTGTAGTTTTATATTTTTTTAATAAAAAATATATGTTACACTTCTGATTATTATATCATTAAAAAGTTCAACACACAAAATTAATTCATAGATCAAATGATAAACAAAAAATGGCAGGCTTCTGAAATCAGGAAACCACCGGCAAAAAAGTGGACAGCAACAACTTTTTTTGAGGTAAAATGTAAGAATTTTCATACAAGTTCGCTATTAAGCCAAAATAGTGTATTTTTTTTATTTAAGCATTAAATAGAGTAAATGAATGAGGCAGAGCATTGGTTACTGGGACGAATTGAATAAAAATAAACTAAGATAAAATAAGAACTGTTAACAGTAGAAAGAATCACGTTACATCTCTTTATGAACTGTTTGTATAAAGAGAAATGACGGCACGTAAAAATAAATGTACGGTTTCAAGAAAAGGAGTTCATTACCCATCACTACAATGTACATAATATGAAGTTTGATCAAGGTTTCTTTATCAATTTCAATCCAGATTTTACATTGTACAAATCATGAAGTTTAACGTTTATTACTAATAACTATATAACGTTCAATAATCTAATATCATAAATCTAATATCATATATTGTACGATAAAATCACACTTAAAAGTCAAACCCTAATTATAAACTATTAACCAATTATCACAGCCTTTGTAAAACGTTAGATATTATTCGATATATAGGATTCATATATCAACTACTTGCAGCCGTCGGATATTGTTAGCTTTATGATACACATGTATATCATAAACATATCAGTACAGTTTAGCATTCAGCTTCTCTGATCTCTTGGATATTATATAGTAAATATGTCACATAACTTTAGCAGCAGCTACTGACAGCTCTGAAATAATATACATATATCTCATAAATCAAGAAGCAGCTTCTGACAGCTCCTTATTGATATACATATATCTAAAAGATTTATCAGCAGATCTTAGATAATATCTGTAGGTCATAAATAATACATATAACATAGCTACTGGCAGCTCCAATGTGATATATATCACATACATATATTATTAGTCTTTAGCAGCAGCGACCGGCAACTCTTGTATCTTTTTTTTTTACTTTGTGATATATATCAGTGACACATCTTCAAATGTTGGCAGCAGCTACTGGCAACACTGGTATGTCATAACTTTGTGATATATATCAGTGACACATCTTTAAAGCTTAGAAGCTGCAACTGGCAACTCTTCATGAAAAAAGTTCAGAATTCTTCTCCAAGAATCTTCTTGTGCCGCAGCATGAGGTTCTGGTTGACCACCCCACCAGAAAAAACATATCTGAAAATAAATATCCTTATAAAAGGAAAGCAGCTATTCTATTAAATGTATATACCTTTAAAAAGCAATATGTTTTTTTCTAATTATTATCTGTGTTGATTTTCTTGCGTATCAGACTGTATTTTGAAATGTTTTCAGCAGCTCTGGAAAATAAGGTCTTACACTCCTGTGTAAGAGGAGTCGCATACTTCATTCATTTGCACCTTTTATGAATAAGTTGCATAGTTTTTTATGAACATGATTTCTGTTGTAATGAAGTTCTAAAATAAATATACAAGTTTGTTTGTTTGATTGATAGGGTTTTTACGCCACACTGACATATTATTGACCATATGGCAATGTTGGAGGAAGACCTCAGGTGCCCTTCCCTGCAATATTTCACACACTTACGGGTACCCAAGTAGGACCACCGACGTTCCGTATGCTAGCTTGCTAGCTTCCACGAATGAAAAAAATCTAGGAATTCCTTTTTAGGTTTCGAACCCACAGTGGTGAGGGGCAAATGGTTTCAGGTCAATGACCTTAGTATAAAAGTGCTGAATAAAATATTAGTTTTAATTTGTTACTTCTTTTTGACAATTAAGTTAACTTATTATGTAAAATGCAAAAAAAAAGATAATTAAACACTGTTTGTTGTCAGTCATCGCAGATGGAAATAACTGGCTATCAGGTAACCGTTTAGCCAAAATTCAAATTAAGCTAGACAGTATGGTCTGTTAAAGCAGGTAGTGAGTGTAAGATTCTTATAGTTCATAATGGCTAGATGGCATCAAAACCAGTGCCAAAATTTTGAAAGTTAGGTAAGAATTGAAATGAAATTCAATATAAAGGGTATTTTGTTTAGTTCAGTTTCATAAGATCAAAATTACTGTCATGGAATGAAATCATCAATGGCATAGCAACATAAGACAATGTAAAAGCTGATGTTAATAAAATGACAGATAATTTGATCTCATATGTAAAAGAACCAATAAACTAATTTTGTAATTAATTCATTTTCTTAATTCATTTTTTTACTGAATTTTTCATTGTATTTATCATTTGCATTTTCTTCGTGGCAACAGCACTTATATTTTGGTTCAAAAAATAATTTTAACATGATTTTCAATTAATTTTACTATGAAAGTGCTCAATAAAAATATGGGCTTAGAATAATTACCATGCATTTACATAATAAACTCAGCAAATTACCGGTAAAACCAAAAATATATGTACTCTATATTATTAGACTTCACTTTTACTTACCAAATGATTTATGATAAGACATGTCACAGAGCGGCGTGTAAGGCGGTTCCACGAGATGCCCCGCCCTCGGTAAGATGCAACAATACAATTATCTGTCTTCCTCTATAGGATATAAATCTTTCAACATTCGGATACATTCCTTCGACTACACATGTCGTCTTCACTTAATATATTCAATATCTTCACATCAGTTTTCCATACCTGTTGAAAAATGTGAAATGTTATTAAACCTTCAACTGCCGAATTTATGTAATGTATCCACCCTGCTTTGAATTTGAAACAGTCCATTAAAGGCACATTATGCTTCAGGAATTAATTAATTTCTACTTCTTTAGAAAGGGCAAAAATTAAAATTTATAACATTTAAAAAGTGGTTTTTGAGCATGTTAGATACTGAAAAACATAACGATAAATATGAAAAAGTTTGTAATATAAGTAGCAAAATGTATACAAAGTAGTTTTTTTACTTCAATCACTACAACTGTCTGTACTAATTGCCAAACAGCAACAGACAAAAAACATGGTTACTGAGCTTACACTTTGGAAACTATAGCAGAATACCAAACATTAAAAACTTTTGAGAAATAAAGATAAAAGCATTTCTGAGGCATAATGGGCCTTTAAAAGTTTAGCGGATTTCAATATCAAAACAAGAAAATTGAGCTATAAACAGTTAAAAGGGTCTGTTCAGACTGCAAAGAAGTGAAGACTCTCCTTGCTTTATACTAATTGCAATGGCTAATCATTTTCAGTTCCAGCAGAATAAGAATTAAGATTATTCCTTACAAAAAGATAAACACTCCAGTGAAAATGGATAAAAAATCTCTTTGATTAACTCATCTCACTCCAGTGAAAATGGATAATAATATAATTTTTTTTTTATTAACACATCTCTAGAACTTGTTGAACGAAATAAAATTATCAATTTTATTATAATTAAAATATTAAATGATTTAAATACAATTTTCCAATTTTCCAATAAGCTATTCTACGGTCAAACTGAAAGCTCCTCCATTGCTTTCGAAATGATTTTTCCATTAAACACATACCTAAAACTTGATGTTAATTGAAATGTAAACATTAACTTTATATAATTAGTTTTCATAATGTCTAAGGTCAGTAGTTCTCCTTAACTGTTTCTGAAATGTTTATTTGCAATTTTTCAACTGTTTCAATAGCTGTAAAGTAAAGTATATGCAAGAAACAATAAACTATTTACTGTTGCAAAGATATACTAGGTCATATAATTTCTTCATATACAACATGAAACAAATGTTGGCATCTTCTAACTATTATGTTTAAACTCTTTTTTTTGGTTGGATTTAATGTGGTATCAACACAGTATAGGTCATATAGCATCTTTCAAGCTTCACTGGTGCAGGAAGACATCAGGTGCCCTTCTGTGCATTACATAACGCGCCAACAGGCACACAAGTAGAACCACCAACGTTCTGTAAGCTAGCTGGATAGCTTTCTCACAAGAAAGAATTCAAATACACTTGGTTGGCTCGAACTTACAGTGGTGAGAGGTAAGTAGTTTTAAGTTTATGACCTTAACCACTTGGCCACAGACACCCAATTATATTTTAACATTTTCACATTTTTTGTAAAAACTTATAACTTTATATATATACTTACTTGAAAAATATCTGAAGGTACATAATCCAATGCTTTATGCATAGCATATTTACCATCTATATTAAGAATTTTGTCAAATAGAAGTCTGAAAAAAAAAATAGTATTAATTCGCTTAAAGCAGCATGCCTCCAGATTTATGCTGCTTTTAATGAAAATTGTTTATATGTATTAAAAAGTAAAATAAGTGAACAAGGAAGGCAATTTACAAATTGCAATTGACACTTAAGAAGTTAAAGACTATAAACAAAATCTTAACTAACACCAATGCCCATTACAACAAAGTGGGTAATGACAATAGCTCAGTTTACTTTTGGCTTTTTTTTTTTTAATTGGAGCAAAAAAATGTATAAACATTATGTTGTTTTTTTTACAAGTCTGCATTCAGAGCTTTTTTTGAAAGTTGTATATGGTATTCTCTGTGGTCAATTAATACAGCCTTCAGCTTACACTCTTAAAATTAATTAACAAAAAATCATAAAAAGAATTTAGGAAACAACTTACGGTACTTCTGGTATATCGCCACCACTGTACTTCATCGGTGCTGTTGCATTAAATGTACAACCATTAATGTTCACTACTGCACGTACCTGGAATCAAAATTGCACAGAAGGAATTCAATGTATTGCATTAACAATAAAGCTTTTAACAAATGACTGCTTACTCATGAGACAGATTTTTAATGCAACCTTGTTATTCTAAGCCATTTAATTCAAATACTTCTTTCATCACGCTGAAATTGTAATCTTGCACAAAACAATTTGTTTGAATGTGGTGAAGACATACCTATTATGCCAGACAGACATCTTTGACCTCCAAGTACAAGCTTGAAGGTGCATAAGTGGGACTTGCATGTGAAACATTGTCTACTTATAGTGATATAATTGTGAATCAATTGTTTTTCTTCCCATTAATTTATGAATGCAGAAGTAAAGGACCAGACACAAACTACAATTGCGCTTTACACTATATGACAAAATGGTTAAGTTCAATCCATTTCTGTGACCTTGACCTTTGAGCTAGTGACATGGGTTTTGCAAGTAACACATTGCCAACAATTTTGTGTATCAATTTATTTTGACAATAAAAGTTTTGGAACAGATTAAAGTATACCATTTTGTGAACACACATACAGACAGAGTACTCAATATCCCAAAACCCAAATTTTATTGCTATGGGCATAAAAAAGGGCATTATTTTTAAAAAATCCATAAAAGTTATATACTCTGGCCTACAACTGGATGTAATGGTCGTTTTGTTCAAAGACTCAAACCAACATATTGATGGCTTCAGTGACAGGGCTTTGTATCAAAAACATGACAAAGAGATGACTTTATTTTGGATGCAAATGCTATTGTTAGGATATATCTGCATATAAATTATAGCATAAAATAAAAAAACTATAATAGATTCAAAACAATATAAAAATGGAAATTTTCAAATTCAGGTTGAGTTATTACCTTTTTACTATACCTCGCCATCATGAGTGATATATCCCCACCTTTAGATGTCCCGATCACACCTAAACCACTTGATATAATGTTGTCACGTGATAACAACCAATCAATAGCTTCCTGCAATAAATTCAGAAATATCTGTGAAACACTTTTAAGTTGCTGTTATTTGTTAATGATTCATACCCTAGACAATGTGAGTTTTATCTGCTTTTCCAATCCCCAAAACCCCTAAATTATTTCTGTAAGAAAATACCTTCGTCACCTACATATGAAAACAATTTACAGTTATTTTACAGCATTTACAACCTTTGATTGGGATATTTACATAGCATAAATTACTATTGGGAATACATGAACAAAAACTTAAATAAAAAGGTTAACCAACGCTTACACCAATACCGATGAGTGGAACATGAAAAAACCTCCACTTTTTTTCTACAAAAAGTGGAGCTAAAAAAACAATGTAGCAAGTTTAAGAGTTAAACGAAAAAACAATGTTAACCATCAGTCCTCAAACATTTTGTTCAATTGGTAACCCTTGCTATGAAATATGAACTATACATTGTTTACTTTGGGATGTTTATACATAACCAATCATTTGGTACTGCTTTTTATTTGAATATAAAAAATGTTCATGTAAGAGCTAGTTATAAAAGTCAAAGAGGCCTAGGGTGATCTACAGTTTAACATAATTACCATGTACTATTTCCTGTAAGTCTAAAATGACAAAGTAATTTTTGGCTACAAAAAAAGTTATGGTAAAATAAAACATGTAATGTCAGTGGACAGCAACTGCATAGGTAATCTTGAGTACTGTAGCTGTTATGAACCTATCGAAATAAATTACAAGCATCAGTTGTGAAAGATAAATGATAAAAAGCAGAACTCATGCACAAGACTCAAAATTACCAAACTTAATGCCCTTGATTTCACGATCAATTGCAACGAAAGTGACCTGCGCCTTCCGGGAATTGAACCCGGGTCGCCTGATTCACAGAAAAAGTTCATAAATGAGAAGTAAAAAAGAAAAAGCATACCAGAAAATAATCTAAGTTGAGATCAAATAAACTTTTTGGCAAATCTTTGTACAAGAAGTAGGGCAAAGCTAACGATGCAAACCCCCTGGAAGCAAGCAGGGCCGACCTGTATTCTGTTACTCCACCTACTGTTCCAAACAGATCTATCACTGCAGGAAATGGCCCATCACCTAATAAAATACATATATATAATAATTTATATATATTTTATTTTGCTTTGTGATATGATATTGAAATAATATCGGTAAGATATATGTCTTATCACACTGTTTGTAACTCAAATAATCATTACTCTATACAGTGATTTTCCTACTTATATAACAGACTCCGAAAAAAGGCCTCTTCCCAATTGAAATTTTCTTTAAATTCATGAAGTTTTCCTCAAAAATCTGAACTTTAACCAGCTTTTTTACTTCCCAAATCAGCAATTTTAGCGATAATTTTTCCCAAAATCAAGAGGCTCAGGCCTCTTCACAATTAAGTGAGAAAAATCACTGCTATAGAATTTTGGTTCTGGTTCTTTACATTGAATTATAAAGCCAAAAATAACATGTACATGTAACAGATATAAATGATTCATGCTCACAAATTGAGAAATGTAGACTGCAATTCTTATGTCTCAACCATTAAAGGCATCCCCTCAGCCACAAAGGGCAAAACATACCCAATAACATTGAATATGATTTTGTTTCATTATCAAACTGTATATCAAACTGTGTCTTTCACTTAATATTAAAATATAGTGTTGTACTTTATGTAACATATCCTATTCTCTAGTTATATCTTGGGGCTTAGGACTAAACTGGCATGGATGAACTTTACATAACATTTCTTTATAGTATTTTTCCTGTATACATAGAATATGAAGAATTGTTATCAGTTAATATTGACCTGCAACCTTTTGGTAAACTAAGAATCTTGTATTATCAGGAAATATGATTATTCTTTCATGCTGAAGGCTGGTCAACATGTAATGAATTTACTCTATGTCACTTCAATTCATTAGTAACACTTTTAATTAAAAGTTTTTAACAAATGTACTTTAAAATGCATAATCATAGGAAATACTTGTGTTATACATGTATGATTCAATAAAACTTAACTTTAGTTTGATCAAAATAAAAGTTGAAATTTTAACACAGTTTTCTGGATTTACTGTTATTTCAGAATTTTTTATCTACTTCTGTTGTGTTTAATTCTGATTAGGTAAATCAGCACTATATACAAAGACTTAGTTACATTTTGGATCCCCAATTTGTGTACCATTTAATCAATCAATAACCTGTGTGCAATTTTTCAAATCATTCCCTCACCCTGACTTCACATAAATCAATTGCAGATTTTTCCATTTTAAATGTATCACATACATGTGAACTCTCTTTTGGGGAATTTTCAAGATTTTGTTGCTTTTGTTGTTGTGTTTTACATACAGTACGCTCACCGCGGGTTTTGCTTTTTCCGCGATACCACCGCGGACGATTTTTTTTTATCGCGGACAAACGCGGGGGTTCGTCCGCGATGAAAGCCTAATTTCCCCCGCGATCCCCGGTGTTCAGTTGTTTCCACCGCGGACAAAATTCTGACGACCGTTCTTCAGTCGTCGATAAAATCAGTCACCCGTTTCCCGCGGGGGAACGCCAAGGTCAGTTGGTCAGTATAAATTAACCTCCAAAAATAATAGACGTTTTATTATTTCTAACGTCATCATTTTTACACAATGACTTGAAAATTGACCACAATCGTCTCCTTAAATGTTATTATACGTTAAATTTTTTTAACGGAATTTGAAATAAAAATAATTACAGCTGTACCTGTTTTTGTTGTTGTTTTTAATATTTTTGTTATAAACGTCCACAAAACTATTCGTCCAAATACCAATATTTTTACAACTGAAATCGTCTTTTATCACTGTCATCTTTACTTTTTCATTCCTTGTGGTTCTCAAAGTATTATTGCTGTTAAACTATATGGGAGCCATAAATATGATACTTAGTATAAAAAAGGACATTAATTTGTGCTGATTTCTCAATGATGACTGACGCTACAGTACATGTCCTGTAAGAGGTCGATGAGTGTGAATACAAGACAAGACATAAATAAAATACATGTACATGTACATATCTTAGAAATAAAAGAAAAATATATTTAAACCATCTATAAGATTTTATTTGTATGCAATTATATTCTTTAAAAACGGGTAGACTTGTTTGTTTGTGTTTTTTTTACAGTAAAAACCCCGTCGAAAAAGGACATGAAAAATATGCATGACACTTGCCAAAAAGTTTTTGTATACTGTACATACCGTATATTTGTTTGACACAAATTCACCCATTAAAAAGTAATAATTAGGCTGCCTTTTACAAATTATAAAATTACATTATTATCCTCAGAATTAATTTCAATGAAAACTAAATATAATAAATACAAGAAAGCAAAGACAATTACGTTCAATTGTATGTACTTAAAACTACATGTTGTCTACAAATACTATTATTCCCATGAACAATAATATCTTAAGATAAAAATAAAATGAAATATTTTTAACTTGAAAATCGGTCGATGGAAGTTCTTAGAAAATAACTGCCATGTGCTTGTTTGCCTTATATACATGTATGTACATGCTGTTCATAATAAAATAACAAAAAGTATAACGTCAAGTTTAATAAAATTCTGCAAAAAAAAATCTATAAAAAAATAAAAAAGAACAAACAAACAAACTACTAAAACAACAAGAGCTGTCCGTAAGACAGCGCGCTCGACTTTTTTATTGCTTGCCAATAAAAAAAGTTTTTGCAGTAAAAGGCAATACAAGAATCTCTGTATTTTTAAAGTGAACAAGTATTCCAACTTTCAAATTAATATCTCAAACAGTTCAGTCAAAAAGTGGACTGGTACTAAAAACTTAACCAAGATTCTAAGTCGATAAAAGGCCTTAATTTTTAAAACAAATCCTTGACAGAGTTACCTTCTCTTGCGTACAGATGGGGGTAATGATGTGAAATAGCATTAAAAAGTTTCAAAGCAATATCTCAAAGGGTTAAGGCAATAAGTGGATTTTACCCATATTCAATGTATTTTCTAAGTCAAAAAGGGGCATAATTCTGTCAAAAACCTTGACAGAGTTATGTCCTCTTGTCTGTTGATGAAGGTCGTGATGGTAAACAAGTATGGTCAGTTTCAAAGCAATACCTCCAATGGTTTTGAAATAAAGTGAGGTGGTACAAAAAACTTAACCAAGCTCAATACACTTTCTAAGTCAAAAAAGGGCCATAATTCTGTCAAAAACCTTGACAGAGTTATGTACTCTTGTCTGTAGATGGAGGTTATGATGGTGAACAAGTATGGTAAGTTTCAAAGCCATACTTGTAATACTTCTGAAATAAAGTGGGGTGGTACGAAAAACTTAACCAAGGTGTGACGCCAACGCCGACGCCGGGGCGAGTAGGATAGCTCCCCTTTTCATAGAAAAGTCGAGCTAAAAATGAAAATAAACTTCAACAGTTGATACAAACTTCTAAACATATACATTACGCTCACACCTGTAATTAGATAAATCAAGAATATCATTTAATGTATATTTTGGTGAAATAAACGCTTTCTTTTAATGTTCCAAATAAAATATAATACTTTATGATCAACATGCAAATAAACAGAAACAGTAAAACGCATCTGACAATTGAAAGAGACGTCCTGGAATATTGCCTGAATAAATTGTTGAGGGTTACGTTTTCAAAGTTTTTAAATAAGAAACAAAAGCTGACATATAAATTGTTGTAGTATCTTTTTCATAAATGTCATATGCCGAATTTTTCATTATTTGACTTCAAGTTTCTCACTACCATGAAGTTGCGACGACAATGATTTATCTTGATGTCGAATACATATTATACATTACGCAACACAATAACAAGAAGAAGAACAAGAAATACATGTACACTGCATTTGTACATGTACTTTTATTACAACAAAAAAGAAAACAAACAAACAAATTTTACATATAGTTATATGTACAGTACATGTTACAGTACGTACGTATACTGATGTTTAAATACAGTAATTAATTTTTAAAATTTATGGTTTCCACCGCGTTGACCGGTGTTTGACCGCCGCGTTCCTCCGCAATTTACCGCTGCGTTCCGTGGGGGAAACGGTTTCAGCCACCAATTTATGTCCACGGTGGTGAAAATTTTCTGTCCGCGGGGACACGCGGACAATATCTGAGCAAATTTTCGTCCGCGGTAAACCTCATCCGCGGGGTCACGCGGGTTTTGAAAGTCGCGCTGAGCGTACTGTAGTACCAACACAGTCACTGTCAGGTCATAAGGTGACTAAATCCAGCTTTACTGATAGAGGAAGACCTCAGATGTACTTCTGTGAACTATTTCAGGCACAAATGGACACCCTACTAACAGAACCACTGATGTTCCATAAACTAACTGGACTGAGCTTCCTCATTTTGAAAGAACATAAAGCTCGTGGCAGGATTAAAACCCACAGTTGTGAGGGGCAAGTGATTTAAAGTTCACAAAGTTGGCCACTTTGCTGTGGATCCCCCTTTTATAATTATGATAAACGAAAGATATGACTTATCATAATTTTAAAATTATCAAACTTACCTGGTGGTAAATATAGTTTTCCTCTGACATTTCCATCTGTCACTTCATAGTTTGTTACACCTGGAGATTTGTACCATCTCTCTATAGTAGTTTTACAAAGTTCTGCAGGAGTTTTCTCCCTTATATCTTCCAAGGAAAAGTGCCCATCATAAACTGTGATTTGTGTGGTGAAAGGTGTGTCTAAATTCTTTTTCATAAGTCTTATACCATCAAGCTGCCCAGGACAAGGTACCAAACTCCAAAACAACCCCATAGCCGAAACACCTGAAATATGAAAGATTTACATGTAATATGCATGTAATTCGTTGTCATTGTATAGCACAAACTTTGTTTCAAAACAAAATAAATGTACTGTTATTGCCTGAAAAAGAAAAATGTGCAGAAAATGAGAAACTTCTTTTAGTTTATACAAATTTATTTATATTTAAGTTCTACTGTGTTGGAAGCTAGAAGGTTATTGAACCACTAGGTCTTTTAAATTTAATGGCAAAAATCTTTCCATATACATGTAGTTTAGTGATCCTACAAGATCATTATTTTTTCATTCATCTTTAATCTACCAAGTGCTCAAGCTAAGAAATGTTTAAATGTTAAATGTTTGTTTCCTACACTTCTTAAAATACATTATACATGTAAACTAACTGTAATGTCAAATAACTAGTATTGAACAATATAAAATATTATTTAGTCTACATGTATCATTCTTAATTGACTGTGCTGGCTTCCGAGACATTTGAGTAAAATTGGGTTATATTAACACTATAATCAAGGATGAGAGATGCTGGCTTAAAGGTTAGGTGTTACTTTATGCATATATTGCCATAGAATCAAAAGTTTGTGGTGGGATTTAAACCCACAGCTGCAGCTGTGATGTTTAAGTAATACCCAAGTTTTTATCTGAGTCAACAGATGTGCTTAATGACACAACTGATTTGGTCAAGGGGTCTTGGAGGATATTTTTAACAGCATTTTCACCGATGATATGGATCATCAATCTGAAAATAATGATAACCCAGAGAACTACCAAGTCAGAGAACCACTACCTGTTCAAGGAGTTATCTAGGTAAAGGTATAGGAATAGCACTACAAAGATATTAATTTTCAGCTACATTACCTGTATATGTTCCTGAGACTGATGCCTGTCTTCCCAAGTTGACTATGCCTTGTTTATCTGCTGTGAAACAACCACATGACTCAAATGTCTTCTTTTCCTCTTCTAAATATGCATAGACAGTCACTTTCTGGTTGGAGTCAAGTTTATCAATTTTTATTTCTAGTCTGTCATCAACTAATAGATGTCCATTCGGTTTGAATGCTATTTCTGGAGCCATCTCTCTAGTAAATGTTGAACAAAATTGACTACTACATGTCCATTCAGGTTTACAAATATGTTGTGATTTTATATTATTTACAGGTTGAAGCTCTCTCGACATTTTTCTTTCAAAATGGCGCACGGCTGAGGTCAAAGTTCTTGAACAACTCTGTTGTAACAAATTTGCTGAGAAATGTTTTAACAGACCTGAAAGTGGAAGTGAAAGAAAAGCCATGATTCAGAACTGTTCAATATTTAAAGGTAGATGTGTAAGCAGCCGGATAGCTCAGTCAGTAAAACCATGAAATGGTATTTTGAGGGTCCCAGACAGGAGTCGCTGTCAGGCTGCACATTTTTCTCACCATGTGACATTTGCTTGGAATTTAATTCACAATGACCTTATAAACGAAATCACTTTACTCTTATCTTGCAAAACTATACATACAATGTGCATGTGTTACTTCTGATCACTGAAACTTTCTTGGGAGCCAATATATTGAAACTTGAACCTTTTTTTTTTTAAATTTTGCAATAACAAAAGTAGACTTGTTTATAATGCGTACTGTGTTTTTAAAAAGAAATATACAGGTAGCTTTTAAAGGTCTTCAGTGTACCCTTTCATATACTGTGAAATGACATTTAAACGCTGCATCAGATGAAAAACTTAAATTTTAAAAAGCAACTTATAATTTTTTTGAAGCCAGAACTAAGTGTTTTTCTCAGTGGAAACAACACCTAGACTTGCTGAATTTTTGTTTGAATTTGGAAAAGTCCATTCAAAGTTCAAGTGATTTCAGTATCTAAATATAAAAATTTAGTTACAAAATGTACCAACATGCAGTATATACAGCTAGGTCAGAAAGCGTGATTCACTTTTAGTACGAGCAAGCGATGGGATAACACCTTGAATCGAGGTCAGCTACATTGTAGGCCATATAACAACTTTTTGTAATTTGTTCTTTGAGTGAACCCCAAAGCAAAAAATTTTCAAATATAAACTTCAGATATCCTATTCACAGAGTAATGAATCCCCAAAAACTAATTACTTGGTCCTGAATTGTTTGACCCATTTAACAGAATGTTTTTCTTTCAAACTGTCAAACCATCCCCTGTCCAAATTATCTCAATGTCTCATTGACAAGTCTAATTAGTTGGCTTACCTGCAATAAAATGTAACATTAATATTTCATCAACTTTATATGAAATAGAGTCTCTAGTTAAACAACTGTTAAAATACCTAAAATATCTTCTTTCACGTCTCATTACTTGGATTAGCAGGTCACTTCCAATAATAGTACATTTATGAAGTGATACAATGATTCGTGACCATACATACATGTAACCTTTGAACCCCGTCCATTCGATTTATCCAAAATTTAAATATCCGAATATATGTGCAGTACACGAAAAAGCAATACAGAGCTTCTTTGTATTGACAAGTATATTCAAACACAACTTTGATATCTCCTTTATACAATAATATTTACATAATAATAAAGTTCAAGTTACTCACAAGAATTTACAAAACAAAATGATTTGGACATAACTATTCGACCCGACTTGCTGAAGGTATTACGCCGCTATTTTCATAACCTGAACAACACTAAATTCATCTCGGTTATCACGTGACATTTTGGATACGAAACACGCGCATTTTTCTTTAATCATATATACCCGTGCTGCTTTGCTACTCCGTAAAATGGTATTAAACGACCGTGGATATATTTTGACGTGACGTTAATACCTGGGATCCCAGCTTATATTATGAAAAATGTTTCATTATAATTATCTTGTTCATTACTTAATTTATTGACCTCGTTGAATAAAATAATATCATATTAATATCATACTCGAGTACACAACATCACTCCTTTCATTCACCCCAAAAGTATTCATCTGTGTGTATAAGCTAGTCCCAGTTTAAATCTTTTTACTGGGCAGCTGCGTCCTTCCTCCAGTTTTAAGTCAGTTTTGTTTTCACCTTTTCATCTCAGTCTTAACCGAAGTAATTTTTTTAAAATTGCTTTTATTTTATACATACAAATTAGCTCTTAACACATTTGTCTTAATCACCAGACATCGCGCCTGCTTAGTGTAATCGTAAAATACTTTGAAGCTGTAGAATGTAGATAGAGATCTGTATAAGATACGTATGTATATGTTAATTATGAATTAAATGCATTTATTTCAGGTGTGTGATTACAGACTTGTGTGTTAGGTTTTGATTGTGATGCAGTCAGTAGTTTGCCAAAAAGCCTTGAAAACTGTCTTTTTGCGCTCGTATAAGGGTTCAAAGAGAGGTACAGTTGAGTTCACACAAAACTTCCCACCCTTGTGCACTACTAATGTAATTGTTGCGCTCAACCGTTTCTTTTATCAAAAGTAACCTCCCTTTTGAACCTTACGCCTCTCCTGTAAACATTGCCAATGGCGTAAGGGTTCAAAAGAGAGATTACTGTTACACACAAAATAGAATCAGAGTGACCTCCTCTAAAAACATTGCAAATGGCGTAAGTGTTCAAAAGGGAGGTAACTGTTGCGCTAAAAAACGAGTTGATTAGAGTAACATCCCCTGATAACATTGCAAATGGCGTAATGGTTCAAAGGGACGTAACTGTTGCGCTAAAAAAAGATTTGTTTAGGGTGACCTCCCCTAAAACCATTGCAAATGGCGTAAGGATTCAAAAGGGGGGTAACTGTTGAGCTTTAAAAGAATTGGTAAGAGTGACCTCCCCTAAACATTACAAATGGGGTAAGGGTTCAAAAGGGAGGTGACAGTTGAGCTAAAAAGGAGATGATTAGAGTGAACTCCCCTGATAACATTGCAAATGGCGTTAGGGTTTAAAGGGACGTAACTGTTGCACTTAAAAAAAGAGTTGTTTAGAGTGACTTCCCCTGAAAACATTACAAATGGGGTAAGGTTCAAAAGGGAGGTAACTGTTGCGCTTATAAAAAGGCAGTTAGAGTGACCTCTCTTGAAAACATTGCAAATGGCGCAAGGATTCTAAAGGGAGGTAACTGTTGAGCTTAAAAAGAATTTGTAAGAGTGACCTCCCATTAATTTTGCAAATGGCGTAACGGTTCAAAGGAAGGTAACTGTTGCGCTCAAAAGAGAGTTGTTTAGAGTGATTTCCCCTGAAAACATTGCAAATGGCGTAAGGATTCAAAAGGTAGGTAACTGTTGAGTTTAAAAAGAGTCGGTAAGAGTGTTCTCCCCTTAACATTGCAAATGGCGTATGGGTTCAAAGGAAGATAACTGTTGCGTTAAAAAGAATTGGTAAGAGTGTTCTCCCCTTAACATTGCAAATGGCGTATGGGTTCAAAGGAAGGTAACTGTTGCGTTAAAAAGAATTTGTAAGAGTGATCTCCCCTTAACATCGCAAATGGCGTAAGGATTTAAAAGGGAGGTAACTGTTGAACTCAGTTAGTGTCGGTAAAGAGTGTTCTCCCCTTAACATTGCAAATGGCGTAAGCAATCAAAAGGGTGGTAACAGTTGCGCTTACAAAGAGTCGGTTAGAGTGACCTCCCCTGAAGACATTGCAAATTGGCGTAATGATTCAAAAGGAAGGTAACTGTTGAGCTTAAAAGGAGTCAGTAACAGTGTCCTCCCCATAACACTGCAAATGGCGTAAGGATTCAAAAAGGAGGTAACTGTTGCGCTTAAAAAGAGTCAGAGAGTGACCCCACTGGACCAAAGCGTCTTTGATAACGTTGTTAATATATGAGAGATTTTCGACCATGCGACCACATACATGCATCGAGGACATGTTTGAAGGGAAATGACCGTGCGACCACATACACGCATCACAGGATTCCCCTTCTCTTACGAGAAAGGGACAAAGAGTTGTCCGCCCTTTTATTATAGGGCAGACTTGAAAATATGCCATTGCCTTATGTTAATGATAAGGAGGCTAATTTTCACAGATATGTCTTGAATTGGTTTATATACAACAATAGTAACGCAAACCAAGCGGGTTATCAGTTTAAGTCTTTTTAAGTCCGATATGAAATTTTAAAAGGATAATATTTAACTTCTTGGAAAATTTTGAATTTAAAGTTTTTTCCACTTATCATTCTATGTATATAACAGAATTATTTAAATTTTGCAAAACATGAACGTATCAAAAACGTTTTATATGCTTTAAATATTGGAGATATAATTCACACCTTGTTTTTTTTTTTTCAAATATTTACCTGGGGGCATTTTTGGCGAAGTACTGTCCCAGGACGATAACTTGAGCCGATGTTTACATAAAAATATAATAACAATGCGAAACAAAGGTAAGGCAGACTGAAACCTAATAAATGAAACACAAAGTACAATGTCATAGTTTCATGTACCTTGATAGCGCAGAAGACAGTCCGTGTCAGTGTAGTGCCATGCATTAAGAAGCTCGTATAATAGTTACAAATTCCCATTACATTTGAGTGTTTATATAATCTCATTTTTATTTGAAATAGTTACATATGCATGAGATAGAATATTTTTGTACACAGCTAGGTTGATATGCAGTTGTGTTAGGTTTGGGGAAAACGTCAAACATCAGGAAAAAGCATTATCAGAAATGTAATAAAGTGTGTTATATTCAATCTATAAATATTTCGTAATCATAGGGTGTTTAAAATTGTTTGATTTTTAAAATGATAGCTATATATATTTTTTTTTAAAAATCACTTGAAATGTAGTTAGTTTCTTTATAAAGAGTGGAACAAAAATGAAATAAAAAAGAAACATAAAATAGAGACTAAGAAGAAGAAATTTATAAGAACCAAATACATATGTATATTCAAATGATCATACAAAAGACAAGGGAGAAAACAAAAACAACAACAACAATATCATAGTAACATGGCAGAGCAAAAGATTCAAACATATAAATGCAAATCATTAGAATTTACTTTGACGTTGATTTACCAGCCTGGTACACACGGGGGAGGAACTGTTACACGAAGGATGGAGTTCTTATGATAACTTGTTCAGGAGTTCTTGTGATAACAGTTTTCTGTCACGGAGTTCGTGTAAGCGCCATTTCCTACTGATGTAATGAGCTCGTATGGCAAAGTTCAGATTTTATTTTAACATGATTTCTTATTTATGTTTTAATGTTTTAAAGACTTACAAAGATTGGACGGAACTTATACTATAGGACGTTACCTGAATATATGTTGTGTGTTGAATATTACAGGCAATTTTAGAACGACACCATTTTCACGGCATTTGTTACCAGACACGGAACATTTTTGTACAACCCTCTTTTTGATTACGGATTTTTTAAATTTGATAATCAATAATTTATAAAATTTTAAGTCCCATCCTAAGCAAATTAAAATGTGTAAAGATAAGCCTAAAAATAAACACGATAGAAACATGGCATTCAGCTAACGGAGAGAAACAAAACAGTGTAACTTTTTTCTAACATTACTTTAACAGTTATTACGATATTTTACGCAAATTCAACATAGTTTCTTCATGATGGTTAAGACAAGTTCAATATAAGTTTTCTACATGATGGTTAAAAGTTTGTTAGTAGCCAAAAACAGCAAATGAAAAATCTCGATTAAAGTTGCTCAAAAGCCTGGAATAGAATTTTAAAATCTGAATGAAGAAAGAAGGAAAAGCAACAAAAAGTTTTAAAAATTATAAATAGCTTGATCACATAAATATTTAAGTAATTGAGGTTTATTCCAATCAAAAATTTAATTGAAAGTTTAGAGCTATTTTCATGCGCATTAGTAAACGGGAAAGTGGACGTACTTGGTGGTTTCGTTTATGTTTGACAAAATTTATAACTCGTTCAAACAGCGAAAAATAATCTGCATGATGCATGGCAATATAGAACTTATAATATGAAGGAGAAGGTACGGTACGTTAAAGAGAACATAAGTATTTGAAAGTTAACTTGATAGTAAAATAAATATGATAGTAGATAGTTCGTTTCCATACTCCTTTTAATCAATTAAAATTTACACGCGTCAAAAAAATTCTTTATGTCATTTTACTAATTTGACAATGGCCAATCAGATTCCGAGATTTCAGATTGTTAAATTAAAATGACCAAAATAAGTTTTACATAAATTCAGTTTTTCCCTGTAAATTTGACAGGAAGTCAAACTGAAAACAGACCGGCGGGAAAAATCTTTACTTTATTACTCTGTCCGCTAAACTCATTAGAAAGAGCCTCGGACATGTAATCGAGGAAACGCTAGATTGAAATACAAGCGATGCGAATTTCCTCCGCATCAATTTATCTCTAGTCTATTAACTGCTGATTAATTACGATTACTTATCAGTTATTTGCAGAGATATTGATGATAGCTGGCGGCCTCAAAATTAATATATTGCTAATTTGTATTCAAATCGGCGTTATAACCAACCAAACACAGTATACACATATACTGTGTTTTTAACAAAACCAACACATGACTGAGTGTTACTTACTTTATTATCCAAATGTTGATTAAAACGCATGTTATTCAAATCAGTCATTTCTTTCGATATTTCTCATAAAGATGATATTCACATCAATTTATAATTGGGCATTGAATCGAAATACTCATTTTTCTAATCAATGAAATTTACAGTTTTTCTTTGTTATAATAATACAATGATTTTAGATATTAATTGAATGTGTAGTCTGTCTGATGTTATATTTTTACTGTTGATTCCATTCAGTAGATTGATATACGCCATTATTTATTTAGGCACACACTTTTTCGCACGCTTTTGCTGATTTAAAATTATTTCCGTTCGAACCACACCCTCCCCAATAGAACACTTCGCATTCCTTTGTTTCGAAGTTATAGAAATACCTCTCAATACGTGCTCTACACCGCCCGACAGCTGCCGGAAGTGAGCACACGGCTTTCTTACAAGCTTTATTACAAATCTGTTTACTTTCAAAATTATTTCCATTCGGTTGACAACCTCCCCATATGAACTTTTCGCATTTATCATTTAAAGGATTGTAGTAGTACCTTTTTACTACCGCGTCACAAGGACCAACCTCTTTTGGTAATAGACAGTTTGGTGTTGGATTCACACATGGTTCTGTTCGGCAAGAGCTCTTACACTCTTGAAGAGTTTTGAAGTTGTTGCTATTTCCACCACATCCAGTCCAAATAAATTTCTCGCAGTCGCATGTCTGTTTGTTAAAGAAATACCTATCTATTTTATCATCGCAACTTCCTTCGTCAGCTGGTTGCTTGCAAGACACTGGTGATTCACACTGATGATTTCCACATTGCTGTTCACATTGCGCAAGCGTTTCAAACCGGTTAGCATTTCCTCCACAGCCACTGTACATGAATTTTTCACAACGGCATGTTTTGGTATTGAACCCGTAGCTAGGTATGTACGCAAGACATACTATTGGACCTCCACCATCAGGTTTGATCGGTAAATCGCATATATCAGTCTCTATTTTCTCACAAATTGGATTAGACTGCAAAGGTTTCTCGCAGGAAGCTTGACAATATTCAAGGTCAAAGAAATTGTTCCCATTGGGTCGGCAACCTCCCCAGGAGAACAATTCGCATTTACACGAAGTTAAATTGTAGAAATATCTAGGAATTGCAGCTCTGCATGGGCCTATCTTTAAGGGTTCTCTGCATACTGGAAACATAGGAAATAAGGACAAAATCAACAGTTTGAACATGATTTCTCGGAAATATCTTATTAATAAGTTGGAATGAAAATTTATTTCCAATACCAATTTTTACAAATTGTTTAATTTGTTTGCTGGATGTAAATTTTAATTTGGAACAGAGTTTGTTAAACTGTACATTGTATCGGTACTTTGTGCATTTAACCTCAAAAAAACTTGTATTTTGCAAGGTTTAACTGCGATTTGTTCAAGTATTGAAACAATTTAATTGATGACTATCCCGTACAGATACAAAAATCCACCAATGTCGGGAATTTTATTTTATTTTGTAATGTATGCAGCATACTGGATTCGTGACCAGAATACGTTATGTGTTATAAAAGATGTCTTTTAAGAATTATGAGACCAGTGTTATTTTCACTTTTTCATTATGAGCGCTAACGATAATGCCAACCAGTCCAGGCAGCTTCAATCAAAGAATATCTCAAACTACTGTAAGATACATTAACTTTAAGCATACCGTATTAAATTGTTATTATGAGAATGTCAATAAAAAGACAAAACACGCGTTTAAATAACAAGATTAAAACAAGGAATTTATTGAAATATATCATGCAAAGTAATTTTAAGAGAACGCCTTTATTCTGGAAGCCGTTTCAAGGAACTACATCAAACATCGTGTTAATTTTGATTAAAACGTTGGTCACAGTATGGTGGCTGATTTGTGCCATTCGTGTTTTCGCGCCCGCGACCCCGCCAAGCGAAAAGTCGAAAATTAACAAGTTAAAATGGCGGGGGCGCGCAGCGAAAACACGCTTTTTAGCGAGGGCGTGAGGCGAAGTTTAATAAATAAAACCTCGCCGCGCGGGGGGCGGGGCGAGATTTAAGAAATAAAACGGCGGGAGCGCGGAGCGAAAACACGTTAATTATCGCCCTTGCTTATAAGCGTGTTTTCGCTCGGCGCCCACGCCATTGTAACATATTAATTATCGACTTTCCGCTTGGCGGGGTCGTGGGGCGAAAACACGCTAATTAGGGCGCACGGCGAGGTTTTATTTATTAAACTTCGCCCCGCGACCCCGCTAATTAGCGTGTTTTCGTCCCGTTTAAAATCTCGCTCCGCGGCCCCGCGGGGCGAAGTTTTATTTGTTAAACTTCGCCCCGCGCCCTCGCTAATTAGGGTTTTTTTCGCTGCGCGCCACGATATTTTAACTTGTTAATTTTCGACTTTTCGCTTGTTGGGGTTGCGGGGCGAAAACACGAATGGCACAAATAAGCCACCATATCACAGTGTTCTGTCACATTTAAACCAATTTGCAACACTGTAAGAAAATATGATAACTTTTACTAGTTTACTTTCTAAAAATGACGGTAACTGCGTGACTGTTTCTACAAAGTTATCAAAGTAAAGTAGCATGGGACTCTGTATAATCGACGTTCTTAACGTTTTCTATTTGTCTGCATTGAATTTCATCAATGGTTTTTAATAATCAATATATTGTTTACGTGATGCGAAACATATTCAACTAATCATTACATTTTTTTTTTTTGAATGAGGTCAAAGATTTTTAACTTCAACGTATGCATTAACACACATGATAAAATATTGTGAGTAATAGAGTTGCGTCGATAATACAGAGTTAGAGTACACACTGTACATTGTAACTGCTTTTGTGTATTAAAATATGATATATAAAGAATATTTGTTCGAAAATTCTGTTTATTAATAAATTTCTTACCTGATAAAGGTTTGGGTTCTTTGATACAACATTTCCCTTGTGCATCGGGGAAACTTCCCTTGAACAAGCACTCTGTAGTATCAGGACATGTGTTCCCTGCGATTGATCCACACGTACCATTCTGTCCATTTGGACATATTTCTATTTGAAAAAAAAATCATTTTATAGCGTGCTCAATACGATAAAAGTAACAAGGAAACTAACTACTGTATAGAAGCTATGAAGACACTGAAAGATAGGTGTGGCCTTGTGGTTAAGAGATTTGACTCTAAAATCAGGTTTTATCGGTTCGAGCCCTACTTAGGTGATAGTTTATCATATGAATCAGTACGAGTTAGTTCCAGGAAGCGGACTTGCAAGTGTTTCAAATTAGCCACGAGATCTCAATATAATATAAGCTAAAATATATTTTTTAAACTTATTAACTACAAATAAGCTATAAAAAGACATAAAGTACAAAATCTTGTAGATGAACCCGATTTTCATCTAGTCTCGAAAGTTATATAATATGAAAACAAAATAGGAAATATGAACCAAAATTTGAGACCGAGCCTAAATTTATTCATTTAGTTAGTGACTATTAAGTAGCTAGGCAAAGACGCTAGAGAAACTTGTCAGTAGAGCTTTATCACCTGAAACAGGGCCGCCTGAGCACGTATGACCACATCCATTAGAACAGCATTTTGCGTCTCCAGGACAGGTGTGGTCACCCGAACAAAGTGACACGCATATACCAATCATTCCGTCGACATTAGGGCATTCTCCGGGTTTTTCTTTTCAAAGAAACATTATAATTTTTTATCAAACAGTTTCTCCTTTTGCAATAAAATTATTATAGCCATAACCAAGATTAATATCTCGTAGCACTAAAATGTATAGTTATGCAGAAAAAGTGAAAAGAATGAAATGAAATGAAGAAGTGCATATGGCCATATGTATTTAACATATGCCAATGTTTCAAACAAGAACCGGTTGAACCGGGTGATTCTCCCAAAATAGGTTTTGGACACAGAAAAGTATACCTAGTTTCAGAGTTATGTCCCGGAAAAAGTTCAAAGTGCAAACAATTCCAAACTTAGGCAAGACAGGGTTACAGTTCTTTGCACTACCCATCTATCCATTGTGATATACCAACCTTCAAAGTTTCTTGTTTATATCTCTTATAGTATCAGAGTTATGTCCTGGACAAAATTCAAAATTTAAATATGAAAAAAAGGCAATAACTCCAAAAATTGGCAAGGCAGAGTTATGGTGCACTATACATTTTCCCAATGAGATCTACCTACCTACAAAGTATCTTATTCATTTCTAGTATACTTTTAAAACTATGTCCTGGACAAAGTTCAAAGTGTAAAAATGGACAAAGGGCAATAACTCCAAAACTAGGCAAATCAGAGTTATGGTTTAGTTGCACTGCATTTTTTTCTCAATGAGATCTATCTACCTACAAAGTATCTTATTCATTTCTAATATACTTTTAAAACTATGTCCTGGACAAAGTTCAAAGTGTACAAAATTGGACAAAGGGCAATAACTCCAAAACTAGGCAAATCAGAGTTATGGTTTAGTTGCACTGCATTTTTTTCTCAATGAGATCTATCTACCTACAAAGTTTTATGTTGACATCTCTTATAGTTTCAGAGTTATGTCCCGGAAATAGTTCGAAGTTTTAAAATGAACAAAGGGCAATAACTCCAAAATCAGGCACGTTTCGGGGAGCATAAAAAGGTGTCACGAGAAGTTTAAATGGAGAAGATAAGCACCTACAGAAAAAGTTAGCGTTTTTTTTATAAAAAGAAAAAAAAAGAAAGGAAAAAGAAAAACGACATCTAGACAGACTTGAACTTAACAAACAAGTTGTCACTTTGTATTAATTTGTATTACTTACCATATTCTTATCTTAGTTATACGAAATTCAATCTGAAAGAAGACTCTAAATTCACTTATTTCTTGTTCGTCCTATAAGTTCTTATAAGACGCTTCTTAATAGACCATGTAAAACAAAGAGTCTTTCAATTATACCAACATAAGGTTGTAAAATAGCATTACCTGGCTTACAAACAGAGCAACATTCTCCATCTGGTATGTAAGAACCATGCTGACATCGAATAGGGGGACAATCAACTTGTCGGCAATCTTGACAAAGAAATAATATTATTATAAAAGTTATTATAAGAGTAAGGCAAAAGATCTTTAGACAGAAAAATATATGATTTTAAGCTCGAAATTTTTCCGATGACAAAATAAAATAGAAGTATTGTTACAGTCATGGTGGCGTTATCATTAGCCTTTAACCTTGATCATATTTTTTAAGTTCTTTGTTATTGTCTTCATAGTTTGCCATAACAACACTTGGCAACAACAACAACAACCCAGACTGAACTTGACCTTAATTAAAAAATACCTCGGCTTTTAAGGTCAAATGTCTAAATTGTGTTTTGATGTTTGCTGATTTTTGCTATTTGTGGTTATAACATGTAATTCCTGAATGGATTGTCCCAAAGCTTTAACACAACAATCATTAAGGAAAAGCCTCAAAGTTTACTTGATATTTTTTGCCTTTACTCATTAATGCTATTGACCATAAAAGTCAAATTATTGAAATGTTCTCCTTTCTTACTGTATCTCTCTATAACTTTGTTATTAACGGATTGTCTTCATATTTAGATACAACATTCTTTTCGATAAGTCCTTCATGTTATTATTATTCAACTCAAATTGAGCTTGGTTGAGCTTTGACCTTTAAGGATAAATTATTGAATTATCCTCTGATCTTTTTATAATTGACATACTATGATTATAATAATTATTATTTATTGGATTATCTTCATACTTTAACAGACAAGACCTGCTAAAAGGCTTATATGACATTGACCTTGAACTTTAAATGACCTTGACCGTCAGGTTAAATTATTGAATTTGTTTAAGTACGGAATTGATTTTTGCTTGGATAAAGCAAGACTTGCTTCAAAACAAATATACTGAACAATTCAGATGTGACACTCATCTGTAAATGATATTTACCTTCATGGTCAAATTAATGAAATTCTTTTTTCCTTAGTTCTGGCTATAACTTTGTAATTTATAAATGGATTAACTTCAAAAGGCACAACATCTTTAGATTAGGATATAATGTGTATCAAACTCAAATTGACATTGACTCATGTATGAAGGCAAAATTACTGAATTTTCACTGATTATTGCTATAACTGGCTGTGACTTGGTAATTAATGAATAGATAATCTTCATACTTGGACAAAAATTACTTTTTGGACAACACCTTCTTAAAGATTGAACAGACATTTACCTTTATCTTTACTTATCCCTGACAGTCAAGGTTAAATTATTGAATTTTGGTTAAGTTGTCATAAATTTCTTATTCATGTATAGATCTGATTCATACGTGGACAAAACAGCACTTGTGACCAAACGGACATGTTGAACAATTTAGATACCTTGACCGTCAAGGTCAGATGATTGATTTTTTTAATATTGTCATTTAATAATTGAAATGATTCATTCTTAGACAAAACAACAAGTGTGACTAAAGGGACATATAATAGTAATTTTGTTGCTGTTTTAAAGATTTGTTCTGTTTATTTGTTTGCTTTTAGAAGAAAGAGCGTTGCCCCATCAAAGCAGTGACTTTTATTATATTATACCATAATACATTTTATTTTGATAAATAATTTATATGGTATAAAGAAGCATTTAAGATCCAATAACCTGTACCACAGTATAGCCAATTGTACTTCATGTAGTAATTTAAGAATTTTAATTACATATATTACCAGTGCCTGGATCCTGACATGTATGACCACACCCGTTAGAGCAACACTTCTGGTCACCAGTACAATCATGGTCATCCGAACATAATTCCACGCATGCGCCGAAACCTTCGGGTTTTTGACATACACCTGGCTTCTCTTAAAGATAATATATTACTACATAAGACAAAAAGCTACACAAAACATGTATTCGTGTGTACGACATGTAGGTGATTATAATTATAATATTCTACTGGTTCGATTCATTTCCTTACGTACTTTTATGGGAAGTTTACAAGTATTTCAGACTGAACTTGTAATAATTGTTTCATTTCATTTTGAATGCCTTCATCACTTTTTTTTATAAAAAGAAAAATGTTTTCTTTTCAGACATGAACTTATGAAATAACTTGTCACTTTGTATAAATTTGTATTACTTATCATATTCTTAGCTTAGTCATACGAGATTCAATCTGAATGTAGACTCTAAATTAATTTATTTCTTGTTTGTCTTACCTGGCTTACAAACATAGCAACATTTTCCATCTGGTATGTAAGCACCATGTCGACATCGAATAGGGGGACACTTAACTTGTCTGCAATCTTTAAAAAGAAATTATATTATCATAAGAGTTATTATAAAAGATTGGTTGAAGATCATTAGAGAAAAAATATATGATTTTAAGATCAATTTTTTTTTTCGAAAAAAAGGAAATATAAATAGAGGTATTGTTGCCGACATGGCGGCGTTGCGATTAGCCTTTACCCTTGAACATATTTTTTAAGTTAATGGTGTATTGTCTTTATAGTTGGCCATAACAACCCTTGTCAACAACAGTAATCCAAACTAAAATTGACCTTTATTTTAAAATGACCTTATCCTTATCAAAGTCAAAATGTCTAAATTTTGTTTGATGTTTGCTGATTTTAGCTATTAGCGGCTATCAAATGTTATTACTGAATGAATTGTCTTCAAACTTTTACACAACAATCATTTAGGATAAACCTTAAGTTTACTAGACAGATTTTGACCTTCACTCATAAATGAAATTGACCTTGAAAGTTAGATTATTAAAATTTTCTTCCTTTTTATGTTGTAAATGGCTATAACTTTGTTATAAAAGTAAAGATTGTCTTCATATTTAGATACGACATTCTTTGGGATAAGACCTTCATGGATATTCAACTCAAATTGACCTTGGCTCAGATATGATGATGGTTCATGAAGGTTAAATTATTTAATTTTTTAACTGATTTTTTTTCTCTAAAACTTGGTTATTATATTAGAAATAATTAACAATATTAATTAGATTACCTTGAATTATTGAATTATGGCCTTCATGGTCAAATTTATGATTTTTCCCCTTATTTCTGGCTTTAAAATTTAGGCACAACATCTTTAGGGTAAGAATTGAATGTAGATAAAATTCAACTCATGTATGAGCCTGACCATGAAGTTTAAATTTCTGAATTTTTTGCTATAATTGGCTGTAACGTTGCCCGATTTTAAGACATAGACCTTTCGCAGCAATATTACTTTAACACATAAAAAGTTTCCTTTAAGACATTTCAAATCATGGTTTATAATGTTGTGAAAATATTACAGAAAAACTGAAGGTTGTAATAGTTATTAATGCGACAGTAAATTTTTAATATAAGTAAAATAATACCTCTACAGACTGGACAACATGATCCAGCAGGGGTATAAAAACCATTTACGCAAGAAGGAAAAGCACATCGTACCCGGGAACAATCTGATGAAAGAAATATACTAAACAATTTCGATTAAATGAAATAGTACAGCATACCGACATTACTAAGATTTTGAGGGGAAAGGGTAACGGATCATATGTGACCCTGAAATAAATTTTTGATATTATTAAATTGGAGCGCATAACAAAATAAATTGGTAAGTATACGAGAACACTCTTTATATGAAACACCGAAATATGAATTTTGTAATAAGATACGATTTCTTCTTGTATGGGTAATTATATATTGATAAAACTACAGAAAGGGGAAGCCACCTTTAGTGAATTAAACTGTAAGCTTGACAGTTTGATTTTTTAATGAACATACAGCTATAATAACTAAAACAAAACATAGACACACCTGGCTTACAATCAGGGCAACATTCTCCCTCTGGTATGAACGAACCATGCGGACACTCAATAGGCTGACAATCAACCAATGTGCAATCTGAAATCGGAGGCATGATTTATTTACTTGTTATCAGAAAAAGTCGTTACATTTATTCAAGTAATAATGTTTTATGATAAACTATATAGCTATATAAAGGAACAGAAGACTTAAAAAGAAACAAAAGCAACAGAAGCCGAGAAGAGAAAGGTTGTGTTTTCATTGACCTTTTTTTCTAAGCAGGAAAGAGTTGTTTTAAAGTATGTTGGAACAAACTGGCAAGCAAAGTACGAGGTACACGCTTGCAAATTTATGAATATTCATGTGCAACAACATTTGGTGCAAATAAAAAGTTTCAGTTAAAAGGAAACACGCACCAAAAACAATAGTTACATTTTACATATTCATTTACTTGTCAATTTCATACATTTGTCACAAATCAACAAAGTCATTCGGTGTCAGAGAAGCTTGAATTAAACATTTAGAAAATATCACTTACGCTCATTCCAATTTGCTTTTGCATTAAAATAATTTTAGCCTTAATCATGTACAAGTTCAACAGATTAATTTTCATTACCATAAAAATGATATATTTTGGAAATTTTAGTGAAATTTGTTTATACCTGGTTTACATGTAGGACAACACCTCCCTTCCGGTATGTATGAACCAAATGGGCACTTTATAGGTGGACATAAAGCTCTTGTACAATCTGAATAAATTAATGATTGCGAAAAATATATCAAAATATTTGATATTATCATTCTTCAGTAAAGTTTTATGTTTAAAGTAGTAAGCAATACAGTATTCAAAAATTGCTAAAATTTTTTGCTTTTAGGAAAAAGAGCGTTGCCCCAGCGGGCAGTAACTTTTGTTATACAAGATTCAGTTTATACCTTAATACATTTTATTTTGATAAATAATTTATATGGTATATAAGATTAAACAACCAATACCGCAGTATAGCCAATTGTACTTTATGTAGTAATTTAAGAATTTTAATTACATATATTACCAGTGCCTGGATCCTGACATGTATGACCACACCCGTTGGAGCAACATTTCTGGTCACCAGTACAATCATGGTCACCCGAACATAATTCCACGCATGCGCCGAAACCTTCGGGTTTTTGACATACACCTGGCTTCTCTAAAATATGATATATTACTAGAATATACACTTCAAAAGCTACACTTAACATATATTCGTGTGTACGACATGTCGATGATTATAATTATAATGTTCTGTCTGCATTTTGTCTCTGGTTCGATTCATTATCTAATGTACTTGTTAAGGGGAGGTGACAAGTGTTTATTGACTAAACTTGTATTAGAGCTAATTATTTCAATTCATTTTGAATGACTGGAACATGTTTTTTATAAAACGAAAAGCGTCTCCTTTTAAGACATGAACTTACCAAATTACTTGTCACTTTGTAATAATTTGTATTTCTTATCAAATTCTTATCTTAGTCATACGAGATTCAAACTCAATATTCACTTATTTCTTGTCTTTTTTACCTGGCTTGCAAACAGAGCAACATTCTCCGTCTGGTATGTAAGAACCATGCTGACATCGAATAGGGGGACACTTGACTTGTCTGCAATCTTGACAAAAAGCGTTATTATAAGAGTTTATGAGAAAATTTTTAGACAGAAAAATATATGTTTTGAAGCTCGATTGTTTTTCCGGAAAAAAATAAATAGATAAAATAAATAGATGTATTGCTGCAGTCATGGCGGCGTTGCCATTAGCCTTTAACCTTTATCAAATTTTTTAAGTTATGTTTATGTGTGCTTTGGTCTTCATAGTTTGCAATAACAACACTTTGCAACAACAATAACCCAGACTAAACTTGACCATAATTAAAAATGGCATTATCCTTCAAGGTCAAATGTTTCTATTTTGTTTGATGTTTGCTGATTTTTCGCTATTAGTTGCTATCAAAATTAACGTTATTACTGAATGGATTGTCTTCAATTTTTTATCACAAAAAATCATTTAGGATAAACCTTAAGTTTACTAGACAGACAGATGTGGACCATCGCTCATAAATGTCATTGACCTTAAAAGTAAGATTATTGAAATTGTTTTCTTTGTTATGTTGTTAAAAGCTATAACTTTGTTATTTAAGAATGGATTGTCTTCATTTTAGATACGACATTCATTTGGATAATACCTTTATGGACATTCAACTCAAATTGAGTTTGGCTTACTTATGATTATGGTTCATGAAGGTTAACTTATTGAATTTTCACTTATTTTTTCTATAAATGACTTACTTGGTTACTAATATTAATTAGCTTACCTTGAAGATCATTCTTAGACAAAACAACTTTTCAGACAAGACCTTCTAAAAGATGGCCTAACCTTGACCTTTCAATAACCCTGACCGTAAGGTCGAATTATTAAATTTTGGTTAAATTGTCATAATGCAATTATTTATGTATGGTGTTGATTTATGCTTGGACAAAGCAAGACTTGCTTCCAAAAAACAAATACTTAAAAAATAGATGTAACATTCATCTGTAAAAGACATTGACTTTCATAGTCAAATTAATGAAATTCTTTTTTCTCTTATTTCTGGCTATAAATTTCATATTCTTAATTGGATTAACTTTAAATTGAGGCACATCATCTTTAGGTAAGAATCTAAATGTAAATTAAACTAAACTTATGTATGAGCCAGACCTTGAAGGTTAAATTACTGAATTTTCACTGATTATTGCTATAATTGGTTGTAACGTTGCCCGACTTTAAGACAAAGACCTTCCGCAGCAATATTAATTTATTTAATAAAAGTTTCTTTTAAGACATTTCAAATCATGGTTTATAATAATTATGGTGAAAATATAATAGAAAACTAAAGATTGTAATTATAAATAATGCTTCTGTAAATTAATAATTTAAGAAAAATAATAATACCTCTACAGACAGGACAACATGATCCAACAGGGGTATAAAAACCAAATTCGCACGAAGGATAAACACAGAGCATACGGGAACAATCTAATGAAAGAAATATACGAAAACAGTTTCGATTAAATGAAATAGTATAGCATTCCGGCAACGAATGACATGAGACACTGCAATAAACTCTTGATATTAAAGTATAATCATCAATAATACTAGGAAACATTCGCTTACTAAATTGGAATGCATAACAATATAAATTGGTAAAGTATACGAGAACACTCTTGATATGGAACACCGAAAGATGAATCTGTAAAAAGATACGTTTACTCCTGGTATGGGGAAACATATGATAAAATTACAGAATGGAGACACCACCTTTAGGGAATTAAACGGTAAGCTTTACTGTTTTGATTCTTTTAATGAAAATAGAGCTATAATTACTGAAACAAAACATAGAAATCAGGGCAACATTTTCCCTCTGGTATGAAAGAACTATGCGGACACACAACAGGTTGACAATCAACCCAAAGTGGGAACCTGAAAAAGAAGGGGAAAAAATATTACCCAAAATGGCCCAACAAAAGGGCCCCAGGGACAAAGGGTTACAAATTTAGAATATTTTATGTGCAACAACATTTTACGCAAAAAAACAGTTACAACTTTAAAGGGGAAAAACGCCCCCAAAGACCCAAAAGTAACTTTTGACAATTCATTTGCCCTTTCAACCACACTTTTCACAAAGTCGGAAAAGTATTCGGTGTCAGAAAAGTTTGAATTAAACATTTAAAAAACATCACTTACGCTTATTCCAATTTGCTTTTGCATTAAAATAATTTTGACCATCAGAAAAGCCTTAATCATGAACAAATTCAACACATTAATTTCAATTACAATAAAAATGATATATTTTTGAAATTTTACTGAAATTTGTCAATACCTGGTTTGCATGTAGGACAACACCTCCCTTCCGGTATGTATGAACCAAATGGGCACTTTATAGGTGGACATAAAGCTCTTGTACAATCTGAATAAATAAATGATTGCGAAAAATATTTCAAAATATTTGATATTATCATTCATAAATATTTTAGATTAAAGTAGTAAGCAATACAGTATTGAAACATTGCTTATATGTTTAATAAGCCGAAATACGTACAATAGTTTTAAAGAAAAAGTGGGGGTAGCAATGACTACAACAGTAAAGAAGATGAAAATTGCAAACACGGCTTGATTGAGTCTGTTCATGAGAGATGAAAAATGTGAAATATAACTCCACCCCGTAGCACCGGTTAAGGTTGTTGTCAATTCTCGAAACTAAAAAAAATAGAATCTCAATTTCAAGAACAAATAGTACTGTGTATAAATTGACCAACTTCTTCAATTAGAGTAAACGCGATAAGCTTTTATTTCAAATCATCTATAAAGATAATAAAAAGATACTATATATACCTGTTTCACACACAGGGCAGCATTCACCGGGTGGTACATAAGACACTAAACAATCGGGATTTAAACACGATACTGCTGAACAATCTACAGGTATATCATGAATATTATAATATCAAAAGGAACCATAGCTTGTATCATGATACATGTATATTCTACGTGGTGTTAGTTTTAATGTTTAACACACCAATGTTGAACACGCCAGATATGCGTGTTAGTTTTATGGCAGCGTACTTGTTTAATATTAATTGGACATGACAGTTGGATACATAATTTTTTACAAAAATACTTTTTGACACGAGCCCTTGAAAACATGCTCTGCATCGCTATTTTGTACTATATGGAATCTTTTTTTTATCGAAACATGTACTTCAAACTTTTGTATTTAGAAAATTCAGTTTAGAAAAATTAAGAAAAATTGACTTTATCAAGAAACCGAACTAACCTGGAACTGGTTGTTGGCATGTAAGCCCACAACCGTTGGAACAGCATATATGAGCACCTACACAGTCCTTGTCATTTTTACATGGCGCAAATCTAATGAGTTGACATATGTTTTCAGGAACATTTTCCAATGGCGGACATCGTACCGGATTTTCTGAAAGATTCACATTGTTTTAAGTGTGTAGTTTTTTTTCACTAAGATTATAAATTATATGAGATTTAGAATACCTGTATATCATTGGATAAGATAAAGGTTTGGAAATCCCAACGTTAGGGTGAGCGGTTTTGTCAGTGACGAGCCATTGAGAGTTTCCAACAGACACGACGTTTTGGAATTCACATCCTCTTTCCATTTCAATCATGTTTGACTTTCTTTGACACAAAAGAAACTCGAATTTACAGTGAAGCTACTTTTAATGGGCAATTAAATAACTTGCTGTTCATCGTTACAATTAGGCCCATTTGCCATGTAAAAATTAAAGTCAATATATAAGTTTTTTTTATAAGATATCAACCTGCATACAGTTAAGGTCGACCCTTAGCCGTAGCCAGACCCACAGACATTCCTAAAATTGAATCTATGGTAAGTTCAATATATCACGTAAACACATTAATAAGCATGGTGTTAAATTTTGTAAACCATTTATAATATTACAGAACATAAGGTTTTTTGTTGGTTTTTTTTTTTTTTTGTTGTTGTTGTTGTTTTTTTTTGTTGTTTTTTTTTTTTTTTTTTTGTCAAATAACATCATGCTACAGTGAATTAGTAAAAAGATATAATACACAAATACAATAAAAGAGGGAAATTATTCCTCTGCAAACTGGACAACATGATCCAACTGGAGTATAAACACCATTTAGGCACGGAGGAAACGGAGGTAACGGAGCACATAGGACCAGGGAGCAATCTGGTGAAAGAAATATATGTGAACAGTTTTGAATAACTGAAATATTACAGCATCCCACATAAAAAGGATGTTGCGCCAAATTTAAGTAATATGTCACGCGAAAAAAAGGATAAACATGAAAAACATCATTTTGTGTCATTGTTTTCCTCAATAGAGAAGGTTTAGGTACAGATGTGATGAGTAAAAATAATACACAACGGAAACCACTTTCCTTTGGATGTAAAAGAGCCGTGATGATATTCTTATTAAAAACATACATTATATGAACAATAAATAAACGAAATGATAGATACTATTTAAACATTGATCGAAATAGAATCTTTTTAGATGCGTTTAATGTTTTATCTTTAAAATGTACTTTTGTAGAAATTGGAAATTGTTTTTATGAATATACCGCCTAAGATGCTTTAACTATTAATAGCTTTTTCAGACATTTCTGTAGATAATTTTGTGTTTGCTATTATTTAGAAGATTTTTAAAATGTTAGCATGATGATTTTTCAAATTTTATCTTTAAGATTTCTTTTAGATGTACATCTTAATTCTGATCAAATGTATGATGTTGTCCTTACCATGTCTCTTAGAAGTAAATTGCTGTTCTGGTTTTGATTTTGTTTATGCAAAATCTCAAGATGAACTTTTATTGCTTTGACATCTTCAAACATTAATGAAAATTGATAACCGAAGACGTCAAAGTGTAACAAACTTAATTTTCAAATGAGTATAAAAACAAACTAATCAAGTAAAATTATACAAAGTACGTATGTACGCAAATAATTATGCTAATTCTGTTCTTGTTAAAAGACAACGCAATACGTCATGTAAATGAGATGAAAGCTTCCCCACACACAGTAAAATGATCACTACAAAAAGTTGCCAAATTAGCATAAAATATACGAGAAAACGTTCTGTATTTTTTTTAATAAACTAAAGATACATATGATTTAAGAGATGATTTTGCTGATTTGTAATTTGGACTTTATGTCTAGAAAAATATTTGAAATGATGTGCTATTCTGATTGCTTGTATGGCATGAGAATACAAATCTCTTCAAACCATCAGAATGGCACATTCATGTAATATCCTCTATGTATTGGCCATTATGGGGTTTCACAATAGTATAATACCATTACAAACGGTAAAAAATGTAGTACACGTTTTTATCTTTGCTTCATTTACAGTTCAAAGACTGTTCTCGATTGTCGCTATTTATAAAACTGTTAAGCACATGATTCAAATAGAGCACCACTATCCTAGTGGTGTGTGACAACCAGTCAGACAGTTTAAACCAGGACACTACTTGTAACGCATACTATGATCTTAAATTTACATTTTAATATATTTATCATGATACATTATTAAATTAATGAATGATTAGCCTGCTGAATTAATTTGAATAGGCTTAATAAGATTTGGTTATTAATATATTGAAATAACTTGTTTGTTTTTTTTAAACGTTTCAACTATAAATGTCATTTATCATTTTTATGCACTGTATCGACAAAGTCAGTCATGTGACCTCTACTAAGGAAGCATCTCGCTGCTTATATAGTGTTTGTTAATGTTTCAAATACATATTAATTTTATCTTCAAAACATACAAAAGTATGATGTTTCATTGATAAATAAATGTTACAATTTCAATTTCAGCATGCTTTTATTTTTTAAGATATTTTTATATCAGTGGATGCCTCTAAATGATGACATAAAATATTGTGATTAAACCTGTTTTGTACAAGTTATTATGTCTTGTCTATCGTGTCATCTTTTTTAATAATTAAAGATGCAACAAATGCTTTCTAGTCAATGTTATTTTGATGTTTTACAAGCAAACGCTTATGGTATTTTAAAAAGTTTCTAAATCATTTTTGCTCAATGGACGTTATATAAAGGGTCATTTAACTTGAATACCATGCTAGCTATCACATTGGTTCCTCAAGTACCCACCTATTGGCAGTAACCAGACAAGCCCGGTCACCTGCATCTTCAGGACGGATATTCTGACCCGAACCGCAACATATGACAGATATTATTATTATTCTAATTCGATGAAAAATAATTAAGAGATGTATGACAATGATATCAAAAATACCCGTGCCGTGTAAAGACACGCTAATTATTACACTACATGCGCGTCATTTGAAAAAAAATATTCCTTTTCACTTTAAACACTCTACATTTTAGATATGTGATAAATAGAATATTATATTCGTGTAATTTCAATACTGAATTTATTGAACTTGATGTATAAATTGATTTCATGCTCGCCAGAGGCTCGCATAATACATGTATATCTTTATTCAACCCCATTCAAAATATTCAGTATTGAATTTACACTCATTCAATATCCTCTGGTTATACATAGTAACCGATAATTAAATTTGTTTGACATGTTGACCAAAGGCTAGCAAAGTGATGTAAATCCGTTTCCGTGCTATCAATGATCAAGTGTGTATATAATATAAACATAATTTTGAAATTATTTTTTTTTTAAAAAAACTATAATTTTGTAAGCTGTTATTCCTTGATTTCCAGATCTTGGTCAATTTCAATAGCGTTAACATGAGCCAGAAAGGAACACAACTTGGAAAGGAAATAAGAAATGTTGATTATAAAAAACAAACATTACTATTGAACTAACCTTTAAGGTATTGATGTATACAAGTAATAGTGAAAAATAAAAGAAATGTTAGGATTAAGGATGACAAACATATCATCAAAAATACTCACACTTCTTTATGCGTTTCGACTTTTTTGTATTTTCAGCAAGCCAGTTACTACATTTATGATGATCATTTCATAACTAAAGAATGATGACAAAATAAGAATATTAATAATCATATAAATACACGCAAAATGAAAACATATATAACAGGTAAAAATGAATGAGTTTAAGGTCAAATTAGGTTTATTTTAAAAACGGTATAAATAATATTTGCGTTCGTACCAACATTATCCACTGGCGTTAGTAAGTCTTGACCATGTACATTCCCAAGTAAATCTAACACAATAAAACACGTAACTACTAAAAAATTTAATACATTTCTGACAAACATAACTAATATCGTCCAAGTTAAAACTCATCAATATGGCAATCAGCGCAGTGTATTTATCTTATATATGTGACCTATCGGCGGATCTAAGCCATCAACTAGAAATTGCTGCATGTTATATTAATGAGATAATATGTTTAACATAAAACCTATTATATTACATCATTCTATATTTTATTTGTTATGTTGAATAATATTCTGTCATTCAGTCTATACATCTCTTTTCATCTGATTATATTGTCAATTTTGCTGGTCTTACGTTTACTGTATTTTCAGGCTATTGTAATTCACCAAAACTAAATATGTATCATATATCTTGAACATGTGATTATTTGAATTGTAGAATATACACTTTTTACGCGGGATATACGAACTTGTATGATATATCGATGGATGTTTCATTAAATTTATTCTGTGTCATTTGAAATATAACAAGCATTGATTTTGTTTGTTATTTTAAAAAAAAGTAAATGAAATAAAAAATAGATTATATTCATTATATAATTTATGGAACTATTTTGCTGATATTTTATTAAAAGAAAATGATTACCAATAAGAAGTTACTTTATTACAATAGTATAATGACAACAATAATTAATTATTACACAAATAAGGCAAAAATGAAAGATTAGCTTATGAAAGACTTTGTTAACCCATGTTTGTAAATGATAAAAAATAACCGAATTATTCATAGACTCTTCTTTAAATTTTCTAGTTCTCTCATTCGCAATGTTTTGTCAATCTGATTAAAATCAACGCTGACCGTGACCAAATACGAAATCACTTCTGGTGACCTTTCACACAGCCAATCATCGGCGAGCTTTCATAACTTTGAAAGCGATGTGGTCCAATACGGAGTAGGTAATTTTCATTATTTCGAGAACAAACATGGTGCTGTCCATATATGTTGTTAAAATTAAACATTATCAGAGTTTTTCAAAACATTTACGTCCTGCTTCAGATGCTCGTGTTGCTGATAAGATTCTTAAATAAATATTGCAGCGATTAATTGCTGATCTGTGTTATAAGATGCTAAACATTAGTTCAACAAGCGTTTGAATGATTTTGTTTAAATAATCTATGTTGGCTACACAGTAGAAATACTTAAGTTCCGAACATGTATATCTTTTATTTATTAAATATTATTATTATTAATTTAAAGGAATATAATTCATGTAGTAAAAAAAAATTCGAAAGAAATTGTCAACATAGTTGCGTCATTGAATAAAAAAGCATGTAAGTAATGGATACAGTATGATAATTTTTATCAAAGCTAGGATAAACAAAGAATTGTCCGAGGCGAAGCCGCGGTTCCGCGGATCAATTGCTGTTCGTCCTAGTGAACTGACTTTTTCACGTCTCTAAGAAGACACTTTTGTAGAAAATACGAGTAATTTTATTTAACTTATACGACGATTAAATACGTAAAGAACACATTAATAAATAAACACATTAAAGAATAAAAATTGTTATTTAAAAGAAATATATGGTCTTGCTGAAAATATAAGACTTTAAAAATTATTATTATCGCTTTTATTCAGTCTAAGGTGCAGGCAAATTGAACGATTGGACTCGGTGACTCGTCGCTGATGTCTGCACAGCGGATTTACAGACGAGTTCATCATAGAAGTAGAAGTAGAAGGACTTTAACAAATCAATTGCTGACATTCGGCAGGACATGCAGCAACTAGGACATTGCATCTGCTGGCTGAAATCAGAGGACATTGAATTTTTACCGAATTTTCTTCTGGTAGGACATTTGGCAATACTTTCAGCAGTACATTGAAATGTTACCGAATTCCCTGCTGACAAGACATTCGGCAGGTAATCTAGTAGGACATTGAAACGTTTTTTTTTTGCGTTTGTTTCTTATTTGATTGGATTAAATAATCTGATTTAACTAGAAACTACTAAAATAACGATGTTTTATATTTTAATGTCACGTATTTATGTAATAAGACGCTCAATAACATGATCCTCAAATATGAAATTGGCATTGATCCATCGAAGCTCCGCAAAATTTCCCTGCTTGTCCCTTTCCGTCAAACTTCGAAAATAAAACACTGCCATAGCTGGTATTCGGACAAGTTCCTCACTTTAAAAAACAGTCGCTACAACTCAGCTTTACTTAGTACAAAGAGTTGTGGAAATCGCCAAAAGTGGTCCGAATGTTTGTAAATTTTCCGTTACTAACGATCATTCGGTGATGTTTTGATTTATGGGTAGACATTACACGCAGCGTTGTTACGTCATAGAAGAAGTTGACGTTACTCATTAGCAGCGTCATATTGCGTCCGAAAAATTACACAAGCTGTTAGTGTTAATAAATCGTTGATAAATGGATAATTAATGGCTAGTGAAAATCCAGGCTGTTGTGTTTGGCTAATAAGTTTCAAGAAATCTTGCAACGAAAGGGTGAGAAGAATTAAAACACTCAATTTTGTGCATAATTAAGGGAAACAAGAATTATTTGGTAGATTTAAAGCTGTGAATATGCCTAAAAATGTGCCAAACTTTTTCAATAAAACTTAAACTTGATAAAAAAAAGTACTGTGGTGTTAAGAAAGGGTTATATGATTCAATAACTTCATGTTATGTGCGATTTATTACTGAATTATCGGTATATTGTGTTTTTAGAAAATTAAATTTGTTTAGGTGGTGAATGCCCCTTGCGATGTGAAAATGAGTTTCTTTATTTCCTTCACAATATGTTACTTTACTTTATATTTTCATAAAAAGTGTCATGAATCTGGAGGAATTATATTATGATTATGATTATTATTACCCTTATAATTATGGTGTTAATGATAAAATGGTAATGATGATAAAATAATAAAAGATGATAAATAAGTATGACTCGTAATGTTGAAAATAAACAACAAATGAAAAATTGGTGATTCTTAAATAGCCATACATAGCAGTGTTGTTAATTTTCTAGAGCAAAAATGAAACAGAAAAATGAGTTCTTCTTTAGTTTATAAACATTTACTCTTTTTATAGTTTGCAAGATTTCGAAACCGCTTGCGCCAAAGATATTATTCAAGAAGAGGCAAGACTCTTGACCCGGAAACCCTATTAAATGAAACAGGTACTGCCGACATGGTCGTCGTGAAGACGGTCAGCAAGTCAAACAAAGTTGTTCCTGAAATGTCATCTACGACAGGTATAGTTACTTGCTTGTATATTATGTTTTCTAAACGAATTCTCACTGTAATGTACTCACAAATTTTAGTGCTGTAATATTTGTACGACAAGAATTTTGAAGCACTTGGTATTATTGTGTGAATCAGACTAAACGAAAGACAGTATAAAAAGCACAAAGATTGGCAAAATTAAGTCCCATAATAACAATTTCTTTTAGCCTTATACTGGAACTTCTAAAACCTATATGACATAATTATTATCATAAAGAATAAGTGTAAGGATCATTTCCCTATGTTTGTTTTTTATTATGTTCATTCTATTAATATACGCGCAAAAACGTAGCAACGTATTAAACATATTTAACATTAACATTTGAAAACACATTCTTTTCAAGACGATGCTGTTGATGCAACAGTGACAGAGACCGAAACAGACGACAGACTTGGTAAATACAGTCATGTATTATTTTTATATTTTTTTAACAATATCATTACGAGTACTTCTTCCCCACACCCCCACCCCCACCCAATCTGTCAAACTTTGGACATTCCATTATGCCTTAGAAATTCTATCATTTTTATTTCTTAAAAATTGTTTAGTTTTGGAATATTGTCACAGTTTCCAAAAATATACTCATTTGCTATACATACGTTATCTATATTTTGCATCTTGAGCTCTGTTGGCAATTGTATAATCAGAGTGAATTAGTATTTGAAAGGGAGTTAAAATACTACTTTGTTTACATTTGGCTAACTTTACGAGACAAAACTGCAAGTTCAGCTCAACTCTTTAGTTGTTAAACATGTTCTAAATCAATTATTTAGATTCATTTAACACATGTTTGGTATTTCTAAAAAACATGTCAAATGTTGCATTCATTATCGAAATTGAATGTACATGTATTTGAATTAATGATTGGTCGTCACATACAAAACCATACTATGATACTATGTAAGACAACAACAATAATAACTCCTATTTATGTCATATTGTGTGACACTGAGTCTAAATTACATCAAATAAAACGTAACGAAAATAAAAATATTTTTTCAGTCGCAGAATATGTGCCATGCATCATAGACAAGGCAGCCGACACTCTGAGACAGGAGTTTCCTAGCAACACAACCGCCATAACAGTGAAGTCAGCTGACGACAACATATCATTGTCCTCCAGTATCATTAGCCGTAAGTCATTTGGTTGATGCATAAGTCAATTGTAACAATTGTAAGGTAGAAAGAAGGAAAGAAGGGCATGGATAATGATTTGATTGATGCATTATTAGTCAATTATGACAACGTTCGTAGTATAAAGGGCATGGAAAAATTACTCTAATTATTACATTTTGCCTGTCAACGCACATGCAGCTCAATGCAGTGGTTGTGTTTTTTAGCAAAAATGAGCGGAAATAAGTGTAAGCAGCTGATAATCCAGCTAAATATCCAGTCTCAGATATGAAGAGGCAATTCTTGGAAATTTCGATAAACCAATCAAAGTCAAATGCGGTCGTATCATGTTTTCATCTTTATTCCTTAACTGCCGGTAACTTTTTGCCATCGTATTCCCGTCACTTGTTGGACCTATAATGGTTTAACCACGTTTACCACGGCCTATTTTTTGTTTGTAAAGATAATTTTTATTTTAATTCTGAATATTATACTTGTGATTGTACATGACGTCATAAATTTCTTGACAGACATTGCTGATATGGCTGTAACGGAGAGTCTGTCAAATATTGTGATGGATGTCGACATTAACCACTCTGCTATTAGAGCTCCTAAAACTGTCAAAGAATTCAAAGGTAAGAATTTTTGTTTAAAGGGACTCCACTGAGGCATGACGGGACTGAAAATAAATTTTCGAGATTAATGTTTCATCTGATGTAGTTGTTAACCAATAACTTGTGTGTAAATTTCACATCATTCGCTTATTCCGTTTTTCCAGAATAATTATTCTACTTGTGAAAGAACGACAAAAAAATGAAAAGCACAAAAATACGATTTCCAATTTATTTCTAGGTCTATTTCATAACTATCTTTTGCATATATTATTGTTTTAATTGCCCAAGCCGATTTTTGTTAGAAATTAAAAGTTTAAGTTTAATGAATTTGTACTTCAGTGGAAATCCTTTAATATTTTGTGAGAAACCAAAAAATATTCACCAATACAATTCTTAGTTCAATCGTTGAAGAGAACTTTTTCATATATTATGAAACAAAGTTATAGGCTTCGTTCATCGACGTGGAATCGACCAAGATAAAAGCTTCTCTTAACAAATAACTTAAGTGGGCGGCCTCCGTGGCCTAGTGTTTAAGATCGCTGACTTGAGATCACAGGTCCCTCACCGCTGTAGGTTCGATTCTCACTTGGATCGAAATCTTTCATGTGAGGAAGCCATCCAGCTGGCTTACGGAAGGTCGGTGGTTCTACCAAGGTTCCCGCTCGTGCCTGAAATAATGCCCGGAGGAGCACCTAGGGTCTTCCTCCACCAATAAAGCTGGAAAAAAAACAAAGAAAAAATCTCGGCGGGATGCTCTAGGATGGCCCGATTTGAGTGTACGGTCGCCCATATGGGTTTCCGGCGGCGACCTTAAATAAACGCATTAAAACAAAAAAAAAATAACTTAAGTGTGTAATTTACAAAAGATATTGATACATTGAACTCATGGAATGAAAACAATAATTGTTCTATTTTTTCATATATTTTTATAGAAGCATTTGGCATAACCGGATATGACGACATTGATGACGGTCTTCCACCTGTAAGCGTGTAAGGTAAGGTTTGTATTTAATCCAGTGTTGAAATAGTTTGAAATGTTAAAGTTAAAGTAAGGACACTGTGTTATGCCTTCTGAAATATTACTTTAAATAAAAACAAAACATTTCTAATGTCAGAAGATGAATTTAAACGTTGTACTTTGTTTATGTATGTATCATAATGACTTCTAACCTCGCTCTAAAGACCAAGGAAAATGTAGTTGATCTCGGTAACGGATACTCTCTGGGCATCTCTTAAAATATAAAAAATTAAATAAATAAGTTACCCTGATTGTTTATGAAGAGCAATACAACATGCACACTCAGTTTGTTTTTGTTAATTTCAGAGCAGCAAGTATACAAGAACAAAAAAGCAACAACGTGTGTCTGGGTTTTTGTTTATTTGTTGTTGTTGTTTTTTTTGTTGCTGTTTTGTTTTGTTTGTTTGTGTGTTTGTTTTCGTTTTGTTTTCCATTGTTCTATTTTGTGTGTGTATTTTTCTTCTCCTCGTTTTCCATTTCTATCTTTTTCTTTTTTCGTTTGTTTTTCATGTTCTGCTTAGGCATCGATTTAATATCTAATATATTTTTGTCATAAAAAAGTTTCTGAATTTTATTTTCACCAATAAAATCCATTGAAACATGCCTTTGTGTATTGTTTGTATTATACAAAATGACGGTAGATTCGTTCCAGAAGCAGGCAACTGCACTTTCAGCCTTTCTACAACTACACCCCCAGCAGAGCTATTCAAAAAGTGTCTTCTTACACTTTTAAATAACTGTTATCTTGCACGTGATTTGAGTGCCTGCTTAAGATAGTTATAAATATGGTGGCTGATTTGTGCCATTCGTGTTTTCGCCCCGCGACCCCGCCAAGAGAAAAGTCGAATATTAATAAGTTAAAATGGCTGGGGCGCACAGCGAAAACACGCTAATTAGCGAGGGCGCGGGACGAAGTTTAATAAATAAAACTTCGCCCCGAGGTAGCGCGGAGCGAGATTTAAGAAATAAAACGGTTGGGTCGCAGGACGAAAACACGATAATTAGCGTGGGCGAGGGACGAAGTTAAATAAATTAAATTTTCCCGAGCGCCCTCGCAAATAAGTGTGTTTTCGTCCCGCGACCCCTCCAAGCAAAAGATCGATAATTAACGTGTTAAAATGGCGGGGGCGCGCAGCGAAAACACGCTAAAAAGCGCCCCGCCGTTTTATTTCCTAAATCTCGCTCTGCGCTACCTCGGGGCGAAGTTTTATTTATTAAACTTCGCCCCGCGCCCTCGCTAATTAGCGTGTTTTCGCTGCGCACTGTAACACCGCATTTTGGGGTCAAACGCACTTTGGGGTCCGACCCCAAAGTGCGTTAAACTTCGCACCGCTCTTTGGGGTCAAACGCACTCTGGGGTCAAAATCGAGAAATTGACCCCAAAGTGCGTTAATAAGTGCGAACAAAAAAAAGTATCAAAAAAATGTCACTTTATGTCACAAATGTCATCGTTCAAAATACTCTAGTACAGAAATTGTGTATTTCTAAAGTTCAAAGATGTGCTGCCAAAATATCCCGTTCTGTCAGTCATTTAATTGACATGTTGAGCCCCATTTTAAATAATATTATGCTGAGAATAAAAAATTGATTTTTTTCCCAAAGAACTATAAATATACTCTATTGCAATGTTCTGGTGAAACATCAAGTTTTTTGATCGGACTATAAAAAGTGATTTTTACAAATACATTATTAAGCTTATCAACAAACTTAAGGGTTTTGTAAGCACCGTAACAACCGTTCGCCGGAGACTTTTTTCAAGGGAAATCTGACATACTTCTTTAGAAAGAGCAAACATGAATTTTATAATGTTAAAATAATGGTATCAGAGAAATGTAAGATGCTTGTTACCTGAATAAAGTAGCGATAAATGTGAAATTATTTGTCATAAAGGTAGTCCAAACAATGTAGTATTTGACTTCCATATAAAATACTTATTCACTATAACTGTACTTATCATTGTCAAAAAGCAACAGTTGAAGATGGTTCAGGTAATTGGCCAATGACTATTTTTTTGGTAATATAAAAGAACATCAAAATAAAAAAACAGTTTTTAAGAAAAACAAATAAAAGCATAATGGGCCTTTAAAATGATATTTTTAACCCTCGGGGGAATCAATACCCCACACTGCCATCTATACCCCCAGTGAGAATTTTACATTATTACGAAGCTCCGCTCTTAATGTGCGACTACTTAAATAGTTGATATTTTAGAACTGCCTGTACGGACTACTACTTTAAGCCGCATCTACACCTAGTCAAGTTTCTTATGTGTCACATTTAGCTAAATAAATTAAACTTGATCTTGACCATTGAAATGGCCATTTAAAATGACCACTAAAGTGGTCGCCAAATTTCTTCATCATAAATGGATGATAGATCAAATAAAACTTTTAAGGAAAGGAAGAGCCTGAAATTTGTCACAAAGCATGTAAAAAACAATCCAATATGGCAGAAAAATCCAAGATGACAAACATTTTTCTATAGGCCAATATAATTGTAATATTGAAGTAATATTAAAGATAGTACTTAAATCTTAAAGGCAGCGAATACTACACTCTTTCCTTTCCTATCTGCTAAGTATAGAGCTTTCATGTATTTTATCTGGGACTCTGTGAAAGCATATAGAGCGGCTACTCAGATGCCTACTTTTACATAGCGTGCTATGTAACACCGCACTTTGGGGTCAAACGCACTTTGGGGTCCAACCCCAAAGTGCGTTACGTACTTTGGGGTCCGACCCCATAGTGCGTTACGCACTTTGTGGTCCAATTTCGACCCCATAGTGCGTTAAACAGGTACATATGCATTTTTTAACATCAGGCAAACGACCGCACTTTGGGGTCATAGAAAATTAAAGTTCATTATGTTTTAAATAATATATTGTAGTCAAAGCCAATGGTAAACAAAAAAATCAAGGCATTAAATAGACACAAACATGTGCCCTGAATTATAGTAGAATCAATAGGGATTTAACTGATCTTGATTAGTAAGCGAAGAACTTTCACCAAATAAATCACCAAATAAAGAATTTGTATCAATTATTAAGCTGAAAATATTTTTTCTCAAATTTTCCATTTATTTTAAAAGAATGTACACCTTTCATTAACTCCATTGTTTTTAGCTAAATGCATTATTTTCCCGTTTTTTATTTACACATTTTTAAGAAATATGATAGTCTTAGCATAGACAAAGGTATAAATTCTGGGAAATCTTATTAAGACATTTCAGTAAGAAATGAGCCTGATAATATGTTGAAAGAGACATTTATTTAGCTAAATGTGACATATAAGAAACTTGACTAGGTGTAGATGCGGCTTTAAGTAGTAGTCCGTACAGGCAGTACTAAAATATCAACTATTTATGTAGTCGCACATTAAGAGCGGAGCTTCGGAATAATATAAAATTCTCTTTAGGGGTATAGAGGGGATTGTGGGGTATTGATCCCCCGAGGGTTAAAAATAACGTTTAAAGGCACATTATGTTTTTATTTGTTTTTCTTAAAAGCTTTTTTAATTTGATGTTCTTCTATATTATCCAAAAAATACACATTAGCCAATTACCTGAACCATTTTTTTCATCTGTTGCTTTTTGGCAATGATGAGTACAGTTATAGTGAATTAGTATTTTATATGGAAGTCAAATACTACAGTGTTCGTTTCTTTTATGACAAATAATATCACAGTTATCGCTACTTTATTCAGATGACAAGCATCTTACATTTCTCAGATACCATTATTTTAACATTATAAAATTCATGTTTGCTCTTTCTTAAGAAGTATGTAAGATTTCCCATAATAAAGCCTCTAGTGAACGGTTGTTACGGAGCTTACAAAAGCCCTTAAGTTTGTTGATAAGCCTAATAATGTTTTTGTAAAAATCACTATTTATAGTCCGATCGAAAAAAAAATTCACCATAACATTGCAACAGAGTATATTTATAGTTCTTTGGAAAAAGACATTAACTGCATTTTTTTCATTCCAAACATATTTAAAATGGGGCTCAATATGGCACCAAAAGTTATCAAGTAAATGACCGACAGAACGGGATACTTTTCGCAGCATCATTTAATTCTAGGAATACACAATTTCTGTACTAGAGTATTTTGAACGGTGGCATAAAAGTGACATTTGTATTTTTGTATACGTTTTTTTGTTTTTTGTTTTTCGTACATGTTTTTGTTTGTTTGTCGTAGATATTTTTTTACATGTAGTTTTGAATACATACTTTTTTTAGTTTTGCATACATATTCTTTTTTAGTTTGCAGACATATTTTATTTTAGTTTTGCATACATATTCTTTTTTAGTTTGCATACATATTTTATTTTAGTTTTTGTGTACATATTTTATTTTTGTTTTTTCGTACATATTTTTACATGACGCCATTTGCAAAGTAGAGTTTTGGATAATTACACCATTTGTTAAACACCATTTTCAAACACTTCGCCATCTGTAAATTACAGTACCCCATTTGCAAATGCCATTTGCAAATACCAACATTTTCATTTTTCAGTATCCGCGGTAACCCAAAGAAAGGTTCTGCATATGGTTTCGTTGTGGTTAACATTTGTCACAAGGTGCCTTTAAATCCTTCATGGGGTTTCTGAAATAAGAAGCGGACATGAAACCCAAATCTTTATCCTTTTACCTGTGACCCCGACCTTGAGCCGGCACACCTGGCCAGTTCTGTACATTATCTGAATGTGCTAAGGAATTGACCTAAATTTCATAAGTTCTCAATTCTCAGGGGGTGGGGTTGAGTGGTGCATATTCATGGAATAATAACTGATCACCAATTAACATCCCTTTCCAAATAGACACTAATATAACAGTATATAATAATAAAAGAACAATAATTAAATAAGAATAACATATAATATAAAAATGGGCCGAAAAGGGTCGGCCGAAACCAGACTTGCCCGGCCGAAAACGACTGGCCCGATTCCAAAAAATGGGCCGAAATGTGACCTAACCACTCTACTAGTTGTACACTCAACTGTGGGCTGTTATGAGATTTGAAGGCTGTTTTGATTGGCTAAAATATGTATGAAAAACAAAAATAACATATGTACGATAAACAAAAATGAAATATGAATGCAAAACTGAAAAAAATATGTATGCAAAACTAAAATAAAATAAGTATACAAACTTAAAACAAAAAATGCAAATGTCACTTTTATGCCACCGTAATTTTGTTATATGAACACACTTTTTTAGATATTTCAAGTGGTTACATTAATGAAACTTTTATCAGTTAAGCATTGTAACACCGCACTTTGGGGTCAAACGCACTTTGGGGTCCGACCCCAAAGTGCGTTAAACTTCGCACCGCACTTTGGGGTCAAACGCACTTTGGGGTCAAAATCGAGAATTTGACCCCAAAGTGCGTTAATATGCTACATATCAACGCACTTTGGGTTCCAGAGGTCTAAAGGTGTAATCTGAGTTCTGCTTAAATACTGAGAACTGACTTATTTTCGATCTGCGGCATAGAAATATTTGAGGTGGAGTTCAGGATGGCGGTCAATACTTTGATGATGCTTAAGTGATAAAAGTTTCATTAATTTTACCACTTAAAATATCCAATAATAATAATAATTTGTTCATATA